TTTAAATGAACATTTTATTTCTGCCTCCTCTACCTCTTCTTTTCCCGTCTCTTCCAACTTTGCTCCTGAGTCATAATTTAATGATGATGACTTTTATTTCTCCGACATTTCCCCGACTGACTTATTAACCGCAGTAATGAAATCCCACACCAATTCCATAGGACCAGATGGCATTCCTGTATAATTGATAAAATTATGTCTCCCCGAAATCCTCCCAGTTCTCCTTTTCATCTACAATTTCACCCTACAGAACTCAATATTCCCTACCTCTTGGAAAAAAGCCATTGTACTCCCTTTAAATAAAAAGCCTAATCCATCCTCTTCCGATGACTTTCGCCCAATATCAATTCTTTCCAATCTCTCAAAATCCCTAGAAAGATTGGTGCAATCCCAAGTTTCCAATTTCCTCGAAAATTTCAACCAACTTGATCCTCTCCAATCTTGTTTCCGTCCCGGCTACTCCACACAATCTGCCTTAATCAAAATCACCAATGATGTTCAGACTGCAATAGATAATAAACAATTAACGGTCCTTATACTCCTTGACTTCTCTAAAGCCTTCGATTCCATCAACCATCCCATCCTTTTCAACAAACTAAAATCACTTTCTTTCTCCAATAGCTCAATCTCTTGGTTCCAATCTTTTCTCTTACAACGCACCCAAGCAGTCTCCATTCCCAATCAACCACTATCTGCCTAACTGCCTTTATCCTCTGGAGCTGCCCAAGGATCTAGCGTATCTCCTCTCCTTTTTAGTTCCTATATTAACGACCTCCATGACTCAATTCTCCATTGTTCCCACCACCTTTATGCAGACGATTCGCAAATATACCTATCCTTTTCTCCCTCTAAGCTATTGGTAGCATTTACTAAGATCCAAGCAGACCTAGATCGAATCTGTGCCTGGGCAAATTTAGCGGATTAAGGTTAAATGCTGCAAAAACTCAGGCTATTGTCATTGGTTCCAAGCCCCTCCTTAGATCCTATACCGACTTTCCCATACTAAACCTTGGTGACCAGCCAATCGCCTTCTACTCCACTGTCAAAAATTTAGGACTATTTATTGATCAAAACCTCTCCTGGAATCACCATATTTCTCACATCTCCCGACGGACAATTTCTACCCTCAAACTATTCCATCGCTTCCGCCATCTCCTACCTCAACATACGTGTAGACTCCTGGTTTCCTCTCTCATCTTCTCCCACTTTGACTACAGCTGTGTGGTGTATGATGGACTCTCGGTCGAGCTCCGTGACAGACTGAAAAGATTAATGAACAGTTGCGTGAGATTTGTAATTGGTGCCCCGAGATACTACCATGTTTCTCACCACTATACTGAGTTAGAGTGGCTCTTCCCCTCCATTCGAAGACAATATTTCCTAGGTACATTCCTCTATCATATCATCAACAATCATCGTCCTTCTTACGCCTACAACCTTCTCCAATTCAAATCCTCAGTCCACTCCCTTTCCACAAGATCTCGACCTTCTGACCTTTACATTCCTTCTCACAGATCTGCCTCGTTCCAAAACTCCTTCATAGCTCGCTCTGTTAAATTTTGGAATTCCCTTCCTATCAAAATTCGGCATTCTTCATCCCTGTCTACATTCAAAACCCTCCTATTCCAATTCCTGTCCCAAAACAGTCAGATACCCGCTAACCTTTTATGTAAAATTACATATTATTCATAATAATGTATTTACATATAGCTCATAACTGAAATACTTATTAGCAGATTCGACTTTTTTTTTATTTTTTCTAAAAGTATATATTTATATTTTACAATTGTACAGTCTTAAGTGTCTTGGCAAGGTTTCAAAAGTTTTGTATATAGATTTTTTTTAAATTTTATTTTGTATATAGCATGTAAAATTAATATTTTCTTTACTGATTTAGCTTTACTTTTACTTTTTATGTTTGTTTTTATTTGGCCAGATACAACATTTTAATTTTGTAATTTTTTGTTATTCTGAAGGGACTTCGCCCCAGAATAAAATTATTTTCTATTCTATTCTATTCTAATTAATTTTCAAAATGTGTTAATCTAATATAAGAAAACCATATAAAATTAATAACATCCATTACACTTGGTGTTTACTCCTTTTCTGTAAAAATATGTATCATTAGTGTTAGAAATAATAAAAAGGTCTTTTATGTAGGTATATATTTCTTTTTATTGATACCTTTTACATTTCATTTTTAAATATTACAAACAGTAACAACCTTAAGTGTATGCATCTTATGATTTCCTGATAATTTGTAGAAATATTTCTATTGTCTAAAGTTAAGAGTCTAAACCTTAAAAAATAAAAATTAAAAAAATACTTCCGATCTGGCCCAATCCAGATACCTTTCCTTCCATAACAAACTGCAGAATCATCCGAATCCTCTCGTTTCAAACCTTGCTTCCTCCTCGATCCCTGATAACCCTCCGAGGCGTCTGAAAAGAAGATGGCCTCGGGATCTTCTAATATAGAACTTTAATTTGAGTTATACCAATGGGTAGTTTCTCTTCATGTTGTACATGCCATGTTACAAATTTCTCATTTACTTATTGTATTCTCTATGTAATACAGTTGTAAATTCCATTGAAATAATAAAAAAAAAAAAAATACGGAGGGCTAACTTCACACTTTTTGGAATTATAAGCCTTGTAACACTATTTTTATCTATTTTAGAGCTTCAGTTCAGTAGAATAATTGTTAGAGTTCTTAGAAAGGTTATCAGAACTTCAAAGAAACTTTGACTTAAATTAAATAAATTTCGACCCTGTAAATATGGTTTCTAGATTGTCAAAATTAAATAAATTCTCATTATCTCTCTAAGAGTCCATTTCCAAGAAATAGTTTAGCAATTAAGACCATGCACAATAAAAAAAGAAGATGCGGGGAGGTTAACTTCATGCTTTGTGCGACTTTGAAAAATTACAACTGCTTTGCTATCAAGTTTAGAAATATGGTTCATCTGAACCCTTAACCAAACTACAAAAATTTAAAAAAAACATCCAAAATTTGTTTAGAAAATGTTCAGTGTCCTAAGAACAATTTTCTAACGATTATTATAATAAGCAAAGTGGAAAAAGAGAAATAGGGTCATAAGTTGTGAAAAATAAAATTATTAAAACTTTGAGGGGCAAGAATTTCGAAACCCTACACAGATATTTTTTTTCTGCCTACCTCAACACCAACACCTTATGGTTACTGGTAATAATTATTAGAACTCATATAGAGAGGCCTCAACGTAAATGCAAAAAACTGTATTTATGTTTCACACAAAATTTATATTTTATATACTTTTTATGAAAATACTGTCACATTTCAGATTGCGCATCATGTTTTTGTAACTTTTCGGATTTATTCAATATTAGAGTCCATTATTATGTTGTTGGGAGCTCTTTTTATGAAAATACTTTTGGATTTCAGATTGTGCATCATGTTTTTGTAAATTTTTGGGTTTAATTGGTATTAGAGTTCATTATACTGTTATGAGGGACTTTCTTTTTTTTTTAAATACAGTTGGATTTCCCATTGCGAATTAAATTTGTGAAACTTTTCGGATTTAATCGATAAAATGGTCCACTATAATTTTGTGGGGAGGGGGGGGGTTATTAAAATACAGTTGGATTTGATATTGCGCGCCATGTATTTTTTATAGAAAACGCTTTTGACAACATAATAATTTATGAAAATTTTGCATGACTTCTTTTGAGTGTTTTTGACTTCTGCTCACGGCGGTACGTCAAATGTGATAAACGAACACCCAACGATTCTTTACATACAAAATCCTGGACAGTCCTGAATTTCATGACTGGTACCCACCATTTCTTATAAGCTATTGATATTTCACAAAGGAAAAGTTACACATGCTTTACTGGAATTGCTAAAAAAAAGAAAAACTGACAAGATGGTGGGGATAGCTTAAGATTTTAACTTAATTAAATTAAATGTAGTTTAATAATCCCTTTTTCCTACTGTAATTTAAAAATTTCCTACCTGATCATACACCACCTTGTAAAGAATTATTTAGCATGATTTATAAATGAGCCAGGCTAGTGATGGAGTACTGCTGGCAGCATCAGGAGTATAATTAGGGAACTACATATGTACCTAAACCATGCTTTTGATAAAAAAAAGAAGTTAAAACCATTGTTTTGATTCAAATACAATTCACAAGTTAAATAACAAAATAAAGGAACTGAAAGAGACTTTTAATAAATTATTTTTATTTATTTTAGTTACAACATATTTTTAATAATGGTCCAAAAATAATTCATATATATATTTATATAAAATTAATAATATATGTATTAACTTGACCTGAAAAATTAAAAAAACAAAAAACAAAGTAAACATTCATGCAAACTTCAACACATATACAGGATGTCCTGTAAGTAGAGGGAAATTTTTATAGGAGAGATAGCAGACCTCAAGAGCTACAAAAATGTTATACAAACAATGGGCTAATTTTCAGCAGAAAAGTAGGAAATCCAAGTTATATATTTTTTAATGAAGCCTCTTTTTTAGTAAAATAAAGCGACAACTAAAAAAATATTTTATTTATATAATTAACAATTGCTCCTCAGCAAACTACACAAAATTTACCTCAAATTAAAATACAATTTGTCATTGCTAAAACCATTTAAAGAGGACTTTTAAGCGGCTAAACTAACCTAAGTTCTGTTTTTTAAAAATAATCATAAGTTATTCACGATTTGTTTTTATCATCCTCTAACTGTACTACAGATACCTCACTTTTAGAAAAACTTCCGAGGTTTAATAACCTTTAAGTCAATATTAATTAAGTTGAGGTTTATTAGGCAAACATTTGAGATCCACATCAAGTTATGTAAAAACAATTTGTGTTTTTTTAACCAGTCATCCAAAAAATACCCGTATTTTCAGCAAAAATGACTACAATAAACTGTTGCAAAACTTTAATTTCATGTTTTTCCATGATCTGGGATGTATTATAATAAATATAAATGCATAAATAAAAATTTTAAAAAAAAGTTTAAAATAATGTTTTTGCGATGGTTCATCATCTAAAGTGGTACTAAAAATTCGTTTTTTACTAAGATCTATATTATAGGAATATTATATTATAGGAATAGATTCGTGTTTATAAGTGATAAAATAAATGTTCCTGATCCTAATATTTACGTTTTCATGAAAATAATTGAAGCAATCAGCAGGTTTCTTTATTTTAAATGTAAATGTTACGACTAGAAACAGTTATTGCATCACTTAAAAGTATGAATTAATTCCAATAATATAGATCTTATTAAAAACAAAGTACCACTTTAGATGATGAATAATTGCAAAAAAAAATCACTAGTTATTTATGATTTTTTTAAGCTTAATTTAGCCATTTTAAAGTCCTCTTTAAATGGTTTTAACGATGACAAACTGTATTTTAATTTGAGGTAAATTTTGTGTAGGTTGCTAAAAAAAAAGAAATTGAATTTCCTACTTTTCAGCTGAAAATTAAGGCCCATTGTTTATATGAATTTTTTTGTAGTTCTTGAGATCTGCTATAACTCCTACAAAAATGTCTCTCTATTTACAGGACACCCAGTATAGTTATACAAACATACATATAATTTTACTGACTTTTAAATATAAATATTTATTATTAGAATATTAATAATATACACATGTATATTAACACACACACATATATACTATTTTCAAATTGAGATATCACAAAATATAATAGCATTATTCTAAGAATAATAAAAACAAATTTAAGAATAAGATACATAAGCTTTTTTAATTTAGGTCAACAATATATAATGTACATCAAATGAAATATTTTAATAAGTCATAGAAAGGTACAAAAAATCTATATATTTGTAGGTACTCACATCTAATAATAATGTACAACTATTAGATTGAAGTAAAAATAATTTTTGATAACTTGATTTAAAATACTTTAACAAATTCAGAGTTGTGAATCCCATAATTCCAAATACTTATAAACCAATAGATATAAAAAGTCTAAACAATCTTGAAATGCATTTTAACAATGAAACTATTATGTTTCACTGAGCCATGATAGTAGGTTTCTTCTGGGTCATATTAATTTTATCTCCTAAGCTTAATGCCATACCCTGTGGATGGAAAAAATAATTGATTAAAAATATTTATTAGATAAGACCATACGGAGTATGTAAGGTATTTGAGCAAAAATATTTATTCTATTAATGATTCATTTTATACAAATTTTCTTAATGTAATATAATGACCACGGCACTTGAATAATGAAAACCAATAAAATTTTCATCAGAGAAGCTATGACCTCGACCAACAGGCACCTGTACTGGCTTGCAAGACAGAGGAGAGCAGCTGGAAAAACAAAATATGTCTGGTTTGGTGATGGTAAAGTGAAGTATAGACGAACCGACGGGCAGCCCGTAGTTGTTATAAATTCACCTTCTGACCTTTACGTCTTCACTTGACTTCTCTGCTCTTGTTCCTTCAACCCACCACCTCATTTTCTAACAACTTTCTTCTATTTACTTAACTGTTATAGTTTAATATTTCTTTCAATTTCGTTTATGTGTATATTGCAGCCAATTTTATTATTATTTTTAATAGTATTAGTGCTCATTTTTCGCCAGAGTAAATTTTTGTTTTCTGCTTGTGTGGATCTACTGTTTTTTTGTTTCTTATCTCTATTGATTATACGATATTATCTAGATTATTTCTTCTACCTATTTTTTCTAGTTTCTACTTTTCAATAGTTTTGCTATTTATGTTTCAGCATCCACGGTGTATCTCAGATCAATCCAACCTAATTATTTCCATATCTCTCACCCCTCCTACCGATTCACTATCCCAATCTACCACCTCCTATGGCTAATGTCTTATTATCCTGTCATGTCAACGCACAGTCACTTTTAGCCCACATAGACGAATTCCATGATTTTTTCCTCCACAACTTCTACCACCTAATTGCTGTATCAGAAACTTGGTTAAAACCCAAGGTGACATCCTCTCAAGTTTCACTTCCTAACTATACTCTACTCCGCCACCATAGAGAAAATAGAATCGGAGGCGGAGTAGCCATTTTTGTCCATGATAGCCTGAAATCCGAAATCCTTGCTTTGTCTCCTCTCTCCGTCTCCCCACATATCGAATATCTTTTTGCAGAAATATCTACCTCCTCATATTCATTGCTCATTGGTATTATCTACCGACCTCCTAGATTGCCCTTTGATGAAACACTCGAGACCATCCTCTATGAACTGAGCCCTTCCTACTCCAATATTGCTCTTTTTGGAGATTTCAATACCAATCTATTATTTCCTTCCTCTGACCAAGCCTATTTATCAAACCTCCTCTACTCTCTTAATCTGTATATAGTTCCGTACAACCCTACCCATCACACCCAATACTCAGACTCTTGGCTCGATCTTTGCATTACTGACTCTCCTGGTAAACTCCTCACCCCATCAAGCACCCGGTTCAGTTCAGTTTTTGTCTTCTCACGATCTCATACAGATCTCCTATAACCTTCCTGTCCCTCTATTTAGTCCCCAATCTATATCTTTCAGAAACCTTAATCTCCTATCATCCGAAACTTTGATGCCCGATCTTGACGCAATCCAATGGGACTCCATATACTCTTCTAACTTTGTTGATTTTATGGTAGAAACCTTAACCAATCAACTGCACATTATCCTAGACCATCACGCTCTTCTTAAAGTCAGGACAATCAAGTCTCCCTAGTCCCTTGGTTGACGCCTGCGATAAAAAATTGCATCAAACGAAGAGACGCCGCAAGACGAAGGTTTAAGCGCACTCGACTCCCCGAAGACTACATGAATTTCAAGCTGATTCGAAACAGTACGCAATCCATGATACGCCGTGTCAAATCCCACCACTACCAACAATCCTTATCCAGCATACCAAACTCCAAAGCTATGTGGGCAATCTTCCGTAAATTATCCTTAGGCAAACCCACCCAAACCCAGACTACCTCTATTTCAGCTGACATACTCAACACCACTCATTTTGTCTCCTGTTCATCCGATCCCTCTGTCAAAGCACCAGCTCCACCCCTCATACATTTTTAATTCCAATCATTTTTTCTTTTCGCATATTACCCCTGACGACCTCCTTAAATCCATTTGTAAATCCCAAACCAAAAATTTCGGATAATATCCCAGTTAAATTAATTAAATCCTCACTTCCATCCATTTTTCCAGTCCTTTATCAAATCTATAATTTCTCACTACAAAGTTCCACTTTTCCCAGCACCTGGAAAACTGCTCTTGTTCGTCCTCTGAACAAAATCTTTAACCCCACAACTCCTAAAGATTTCCGTCCAATTTCCCTGTTATCTAACCTTTCCAAACCTTTAGAACGAATAGTACAATCTCAACTATCCCAATATCTCGAACAAAATAAACATTTGAACTGCTACCAGTCTGGTTTTAGACCAGACTACTCCACTCATTCCGCCCTCATTAAAATCTCCCAGGATCCCCACACATCCATAGATCAACAGAAACTCACCATCCTGATCCTTCTTGATTTCTCTAAAGCATTCGACTCAGTTGACCATAATATCCTCCTAACCAAACTTAAAAATATATCCTTAAATAAAGTTAGCCCGAAATCACTCCCTAATTTATGCAGGAGTGCCTAGAAACATTCTTGCCATGGAAGGGGTGGGTCTAGTAATGTCGCACACTATGTATGATCTTTTAGAGGACTGGGAACCAATATCTCCACGAATGATTGTAGCAAATTTTAAGATGTCCATAGGTAAGATATCCATAGCCCAGGTGTAATGGACAAAAAAAGGCATTCTACTCAGATTTCCAAACTGTGGATAAAGTTAAGGAAAAAGGAAGATCCATAATCCTGAGTGGAGGTTTTAATGCTAGATCAGAAAATGATGATAGATCCAGATACGGTGTACTAGGAAAGCATGGAACAATCACACACTATTATGACCTAAAATAAATATTACACCATACTAGTGTGTGATTGTTGACCACAACCCCGACCAACTATTCCTTTAAACATTAAAATTTGGTACTTTTTAATACTATATAAGCATTTGCGACTTACTTTAATTTAAAAAATATTTTTTAAATCAGCCAAAGTGGCTAGTGGCATAGTAGTTATAGGGGAAAAAACTGGATATCCTACTGAGCCAATAGGTAGATGGCCACAATAAATGTCCTTAACTTTTCTGTTCCACCAAGACGAGTGCTACTGGTTAGATAAAAAAAAAAACTTAACCGATTTTTTCAAAATTAAAAAACTAAACTATTCATACTATCAAATAAACTATTTTTTATGAAACTTTCAGAGTATTAAATCATGAATAAAATAAGAACGAATCATATTACTTTGATTTTAAGGTCACTATCTTCTTCAGACTAAGCCATTATTTTTCCAAATTTGTCAAGTAAGTGAGATTTCCATTATTATCTTGAGTTTTTAAAACAAATAAGGGTTCAATTGAATGCCATATCAACTGTCCCTCTTGAAAGAGACTTATTCTTAATTAATTACATTAATATTCTTGAATTCATTTTTTTGATAACTTGTTTACCTAAGTGAACTAAGTACTGTTATTTATACTGTTAGTAATGGTTTACTAACCTTTGGCATTAAGTAATATGAAAAACTGCATGTTTTTTTCACACTCTCAAAGAGTATAACATCTTTAATTTTTAGGCAAGGTAAACAAAACTGAAGAGTGAAAAATATTTAGACATAGTAAAACTATTTATGAACCCACATATCCAGGAAGAAATTGTAGAAGTAGGGGCAAAATTTTCAGTTGTTCTGTGGGAAAGTAATGAAGAATAATTGATGCTATGAGGTATAACTTTTTTAGCAAAATCGCTGATGAAAATCATTTTATATTTGGCTACTCTGACTCCAACAGTACTACAACTACATTACACTATGCATAATTGTTTAGAATCACACCAAGTTCAAACATTGAATGCAAATTCAAAAAAACCATTGGATTGCAAACAAGAAGCATGAATTTTGGTTTATTTCCAAGGACTATAAAAAAAACTACCAGCTCCTCAATCTCTGCTTAAGACAGTATCATGCAGATTTATCAAAGGGTGCAAAATGCTGTATATATCTGTTGGCAAGCAGGGATTAAATATTTCGTTTTATGTTATGCATTAATTACAAAGAAACATTGAGTACTAATTCCCTACCAACCATTCACATTGAGATAAGTACTGAATAAGTTTTGACTCCATTACACTTAATATTCAATGAATAATATGTAAATGATCTAGGTATAATGGTATCTTAAACTGTTCTCAACATGTTTTTTCATCAATGATTTCCATTCTCTTTTTAAAACTTAGTTCTTAAAGTCAGCTTACTTTTACTTATTATTTCATTGTTAAATGTTTTTATAAATATAGATATGTACAAATAAATTACAGAGCCAGACTATTCAATCAAATGTATATCCTTGCGTATTTGCATTTCTGAACGCAGAATTAAATAATCCACAACATGTACTTAGAGCTATCTATTCTTTCTACAAAAAGGTATTATCTCAGAAAAAACACAATTACAAAGCAAATATCACTAACTAGTCAAAGTTGGCAAAGAGTTAGTAACAATCCAAACAATGCAATATTTGTGTATTGGAACTCAATATAGGCAGTTTAATGCTATAAAAATTACATATAATTAGTTTATTTGATTGGATGAATAGTTTTTTTACTTATTCGGAAAAAGAAAATGTTTAATTTTTTTTTTAGGAGAAAATCGCTTACCTGGCTTTTAGCTCTGATTCTAATATGCCCAGTAACAGGTGCATTAGGCTTATTAAACGGTTTTTCGATGCTTAAGTTAGCAAGTGCATCTTCACCAAAAATTGAACGGGCATACATATTAGCAGCCATAAATCCACATTGCCCACATAGAGCTTTTTCTGGTGTTAAACATTTCATATTAGTGCTCTTCAATAAATGGCCAAGATATTCATGAAGATCGACCAAATAAGTGTTAACTGACACCTGAAATGATATAATATGATCATGTAATATAATTAAATGCAATATTTAAATAAATAGATATAGCATTTCAGAAGCACTTTAGTATGCTTCAGAAGTTCTAGCTGTTCAGGCCATTTTAAAAAACAGAAAAAAAAAAGAAGAAATATTAGACCAAATATTTTAAATCAATGTAACAATTCTTAAAGAAATTATTTTATATAATTTTCATTAACTTGTAGATAAAATATTGATCTTTAAATTTATACTCACCTTGTTTTCCCACTCAAATTCAGCCCACATCTGACGAAATTCTGTGTCTGAACAGATAGCAGGAACAATATAATCCATGATATCTATATGGATATCATTAAGAACAACAACGTTTCTGTCAGAAGCAGCTCCACTAATATCATAAACTAATAACAGAAAAAAATAATGTATAAATATTTTTATTACTTAATGCATTTTATGCATTTTTACTTGATAAATTTTTCAAACCAACGCCACGCAGTGCGCTGATCAAGAACACCTCCCCCTTCATATTTAATAATTTCACGAGTAGCTTCAACGGCTTTGAAATCTTTTTACTAGTAATACCTTAAAATTACAAGAATTTCATAGGACACAGTCATGTTTCTTCTTTGAAACAAATAACTAAACTGAGGCTTTTTTCGAAGAAGTCGAATGGGATTAAACAAGCTCAGAGAATGCTCTAAAGGGATTATTAAGTATTGGTAAGTATTAAATAGGATTAAAATATTTACAGCCTTTGAAATTTTGAATTTGATAAAAGGTTTTTTTTTAATACACCCTATTAGTAATATCATAAATCATAACATATAATTTTAACACCCAAAACACATTAAAGGAAGAAAAAATAGTCACAAATAAAAAAGATATCATTTGAATGTGTTTAGTTCATAATATTTAAGTTAATCAAGGTAAATATGAGGAACCATACCTTTCTAGAGGGTGTCTTATTTTGACTGATAGGTCAGGTGACCTTAGGATTTCCACTATCCCATATATTTATACTAACATTCTTATTATTAGGTTATTTCATATGAAATGTCCGTTTATATTATTTCAGAAATTCAAAGTGGGATTAGAAGACTTTTGCTGTTTACTACATTTATGTTTACTGACTATAATGAGCATTATTAATCCTTTCTCTTTTTAATAATATTTACTATCATTTCAATTTATTGCACATTGTTTAGTATGCCATAAAAAAATGACCATGGAAATACGCATTTTCGAGTAATTTTTTGTATGAGTTTTAACTTGAACACTCAGCAGTCCAAACTGCAAGAAACATTACCATGACGTTTGGGGAAGGATATTGTAACGAATGGACCAGTGGTTTGAAATAAATTTACATCCAAAAAAATTATTGGTTTCTGTGTGGTGTTCAATGGCAAGAATAATTCATTACTCCTTTTTACCCAGAAGCGAACCTCGTGCAGACTCATTACCGTGTAGGGGAGTGTCCCACGGGCGCTATGGTGATCCGGGCAGATATGGTGATAGTCGGTGGAAATTCCTTGTAAGTTCCTGTTTCTCCTGGCTATTCCAATGGACTTGCTTGTTATAGTCTTTAATTTAGAAAAATTATTTCAGCAACAAACTTGCCAGATGCACAATGGAGACAGTAGGGTTCGAAAAAAAAAGAATATAAATAATGAGTCAATCAAATATTACTAATTATCTAACAGGTGCCACACTATTTAATTTGTTGAATTTGGAAAATAGCGAAAACCATAAAAAAAAAAAAATATATATATATATATTTAATAAAAAAAATATGGATGCGGAGCGTGCTGCGAACTCGGATCCTATGGGTTTAAAAACATATGTTAATTTAACCTTCTTACTTATAACCTATTGAGCTTTCTTACTTGGCTAATATTGATTTTCCCTAATCTCTCGAATAGGGTTTTACAATTCGTTATTAAATAAAAAACAAAACAATATAATATATACAATAAATCTGAAAACAAACACAGAATACAAAAAAACTGTCTATCATTAATACTAAAGATGAATTTACTTATTGACTTTTTTAGTTCTATTAACTTAAATAACAGTTAAAGGAAATGAAAATTATGAACAAGAAATTAGATTTATAAGAAAACAAAAAAATACAATAACCTTTAATGATCAAAGAAATAGAACTAAACATTAACCTACAACTATACAATACACCAATTACAAATGTTTGTAAAAAAAAAAATAGATAGGAAATAAAATGTATACAAATAAAAATATGCAAACATTTACAAAATCTCAATGGTGAACTTTGTCCAATTGGCACATTGAGTTATCTATCTAAGGAAGCGGGAACTTATTCGAGCTAGCATCGTCAGGGTCTCCCTAGTCCACCTCCTTAAGCTGTGAAAATGTTTATTCACCAACTTGTAAAATCAAGCAGCATATGTCGCTGACAATCATAGGTTCCAGTTGAGAAAAAATGAAAATCCGGTGTACACTGCAAAACCAAAAGTATTTCACACACACCCTTAGGGTGTCTCTACACTCGTGAGGTTCTGCCATATGTATTGCGAATATTCGACAATCTAAGTTGGGATGCACTAGTAGGGTATAAAAAAAATTTATCAACATAAAATTAATACAGGAGATAGTAAACCTGTTAAACAGCGTTACTACCCTGTATCACAAAAAATTCAAGCCATCTTGGATAAAGAGCTTGATGAAATGTTTGAGGAAGGTATTGTAAAGCCATCACAGAGAATGTGGTCATCTCTTGTTGTTTTGGTCAAGAAACCCGATGGATCATATCGTTTCTGTAGGGAAGAATTAAAATATCTGGGATATGTGGTGAATGAGAATGGTCTGCAAGTAGATCCAGGAAAAATTTAAGTCATATTAAACTACCCAGCGCCTAGAAACATGAAGCAAGTTAGACAGTTCATAAGATTTACGTCATGGTATCACCACTTTGTTCCAAATTTCTCTTCGTTGTCCACACCCCTCTCAGAACTATTGAAGAAAAACAAGAGATGGAAATGGGCACAACGACATTTTAGATACAAGAAGGTTTTAGTTTGTTTACAAAAGGAGAAGCTGGTTACCGTGCCTGTTTTAGCATGTCCTGATTTCAGAAAACGCTTTTTCTTCAAACTGATGCCTTAAATACTGGACTAGGGGCAATTCTATTCCAAGAATACCGGGAAGGAGATAGTTTCATCGCCTATGCAAGTCAAAGTTTGACATTAGCGGAAAGAAAGTACAGTGTCACTGAACAAGAATGCCTTGCAGTTCTCTGGGCAGTAGAAAAGTTTGGGCCGTATCTAGAGGGTATGGATTTTACTCCCATCACCGACCATATTGCATTGAAATGGTTAAACAGATTCAGTGAAACAACACCAATTTACCATAATTCATCCAGGGAAACAAAACGCTTTAGCCGATGCTTTTTCCCATTCTTATAAAAACCCTTCTGTTCTTATCATTAGAATTGAAATTGGAGGAGAAGTAATGGACACGTCATACAGAAACATGTTGCAACGAGTAGAAGAAGATCCAGTGAAGTACGCAGATTGGAGGGTTGAAAATCAAGAGTTATGGAAGCGTGTAAGTAATTACAATAAGATAGTAGGAACCAGCAATGAGTAGAAATTAGTAGTTTCAAGGGAAAGAGGCAAGGAAGCTATCTGAGAACACCATGATAAAGAAATTTCAGTAGCTGCAAAACTTTTCAACTGGTTAAAGAATATTACCTGGGATGGTCACAGATGTAACGAGATATCTTAGAAAATGCGAAGTTTGTATGGCAAGTAAACCATTACAGGCAAAAACGGCAGGTTTTATGGGGAAACAACTAGTGGTTACCCGACATTGGCATATGGTTTCGGCAGATTTAATGGGATCATTTCCAATGTCTTCCAGCCAGAAGAGATTTATGATAGCATTTACTTACTGTTTTACAAAATATAGCATTATTGTGCAGTGTTATCAATTGGTGGCCAGGACATTGGAAAGGGAGGTCTTTCTCAAGTTTGGGACTCAAATCATTATATGTGAAAATGTTCATCAATTCAAGTGATGTTTTTAAAAGAAAGGCAAAGGAATACTCAGTAAAATTGTGGTATATTTCAGTCTATCACCCACAAGCAAATCCACTGGAGCGTCCGAATCGAGTAATAAAGAAGTGAAGGAAAATCGCAAAGATTGGGCCAAAGAGTTACCAAGTTAGTGTTGGATTTACATCCAAAATTTTTATTGTTAATAATATTATATTATTCATTTGTGTAAATAACATGGGGGGCCCCCGGTGTCATCCTGTCCTACCCCCTCTCTAAGACGGCGTTATCTATGTCTAAGGGTCAGACGCTAGCAGACAAAGTACAGAACCAGACGGCTTACGGCCTAATTGCTCACCCGACTTCAAAAAAGACAGCCAGCGGCTAACGAGAGAATTACAGCCCTTCGGCTATACACCACAGCTCCAAAACTTTGGACGAGCTGCGAATCGAGAGAGAAAAGGCGGACCACAGGTGCGAGACCGGCCCCTCATCAAACTGTATGTCAAATTATTAGATTAATTCATAACAGAACAGGTTGCCCCTTCACATTGTTTGAAAAACATAAATAAAGAGATTATTAACAAACAATTGGTAGCATCATTCACAAGTATTCCTCTATCAAACATTTTCTTTTTTTTTATAGCATTTCCAAGTCAATTTCAACCTTTTCCAAGTCAAATCCAATCTTTTCCAAATCAAAATAAACATTTTCCAAGTCAAATTCAACATTTTTTATTTATATAATTATCTTCAATTTTTCGATGTGTGGGTCTGTTATCGTATGAATAGTTTTTGAAAATAACCTCCATTATAAGATTACGTGACTGCGTTTCGAATTATTTAAGTTTTTTTGATTTATTCGATATAAGGGTGTATTTTTATGTTTCCCGATCCGTAAATTTTGAAAATGACATCCATTTTATGTTTACGCCACTGTGTTTTGGCTTATTTAAGTTTTTAGAATTTATCCAATATAAAGGTCTACTTTTATGTTTCCGGAGCTGTAGATTTTGAAAACGACCTCCATTTAAAGATTAGGCCACCGCATTTCGACTTATTTAAGTTTTTTTGATTTATTCGATACAAGGGTGTATTCTTATGTTTTCCGAGCCGTAAATTATGAAAATAAGCTCCATTTCCTTCGATGTAATGGTCTACTTTTATGTTTCTGGAGCCATAGATTTTGAAAACGACCTCCATTTTAAGATTAGGCCACTGCGTTTCAACTTATTTGAGTTTTTCGGTTTTTTTTTCATATGAGGGTGTATTCTTATGTTTCCGGAGCCGTATATTTTGAAAATGGCCTCCATTTTAAGATTACGCCAATGTGTTTCGACTTGTTTAAGTTTTTTTGATTTATTCGATGTAAG